TCTATCTATCCAATATCCTATCCAATATCTACTCCCCCCTTTTTTGTCACAAATGACAAAGGATCAAAAATAACAAACAAACTACGAGGCAACATCTCCTGCACCCGAAGACTCATCACTAGTCTCATCACTCGTGCTCTCCTCCATGCTATCACAAATCCAACGCAAATGACGCTGACACACGGCAAGAGCACGTCGAAAAGTAGAAAGCTCAGCTGACCGACGCTCCGAAACAGCACGTAACTGCGTGATCTCTACCATCATACGAGCCTGCTGCGCGACTAAAGTAGACATTTGACCCATAAGCGTCACCATGGGGTCAACAGGCAAAGAAGCCACCCCTGGAGTAGAAGTAGATGTCGAAGGAAAGGCAGCTCGAAGCGAAATAGTCGAAGGAAAATCCGAACGAGGCGGAAGAAAGACACGGGAACCCCCAGTAAGAATATCAGTAATAGGATCAAAGGGCTTCGAAAAATCAAAAACATCAATGGGCTCAGCCTGGGCGGCAGCATGAGCCGAAGAGAAAGAGGACGGGACATGGGATCAACTCTAGTGAATGGTCTGCTGTCCTATCGGGCGACCTATACGAGTAGAAGATCCCTCAGGAAAAGAAGCACCCAGAGATAAAATAACTCTATGAATCAGACAAGTATAAGGCAACCCTATCCGACCCCCAGGAGTATGAAATGAAGCCAGAATCCGCTGGCACACAAAACTAGGTAGGTCGATAGAGTCCCCATGAAGAAGGGCATAAAGAAAACGGGCCCTCACCATAGGTAACGAAGAGGTATGGGCAACAGGCCACAGGTTTGTGCACATGATGCGCAACAAAACCTGTCGATCAGTGGGTAATGAACCTGTGGCCATAGCCGTAGGCCCCCAGTAGACGGAGTGTTCAAAAGAGTCGATCGAACAAGGGCATCGATCGGAATAGAAGCAGGTATAACGTAAGGAAAAGTCGGATGGGTAATCTGAGGTATACCTAACGCTAGAGCTACGGCTGACGAAGTAACTCGAAAAGAATGACCTCGAAGAAAAACCCTAAACGATGAGCCATCTACATCGTGAATATTAGCATAAAACTCCCGAACAAGGAGTGGGGGCGAAGGTGAAAGACCAACAAGAAGGGGCTCCCAACCCCGGGAAACAAAAATAGCGGCGATGTCAACAAGAAGATCAGATAAGATTACCTTACGCTCCATGAGAACGGGGCATAAGGAGAACTGAGAAGTAAAGACCTCCTGAGCTGTAGTAGAAATAAATCTGGATCTACTATACGACGTTGAACCACTAGCGGGCTGCGCAGAGGGTCAAGAACACTTACGGGCCATCTGGCACACGCGGAGATGGAAATAATAAGTAACACGAAGAACGCAAGTACTATGATGCAATATGAGATGAAACAATGCACACACAGATGAGGCACGAAAGAAATGCATCGAAAAATGTAAACGACCCGATGAACAAACCAAGCATGACGGAAATATAATCCAAAAAATATGTGTAAAAGGACCCAACACGGCACGTGACGACAAGGAAACAAAGAAGGAACGAAAAGAAAAAAAAGAAAAAAACAAAGGAATGAAAAAAATATAAAGGACTTTCATCGAACATGTGACGGGCACAACTTCGGCACACAATTCCAAGCACATACGAGACCCAATCACAATGCCAAGCACATTCCAACAAACTACAATCCATGAACTTCGCAATGGAACAAACCACACACCAAACGGATGAGTATAACGCAAGAACGACCTCAATGAAAATGGAAAAACATGAAAAACACGAAAAACACATAAACAAAAATATGGAAGAAGGAAAAATTCAAAGCAAATGGAGATGCAAAATGCGTGAAAGAACAACAAACTAAGTCAAAGAATGCAAGAATACCATAATAATTGAGGAATAATCAAGCAAAACACAAAAAATAAGCAAAAAAAAAAAAGGAAACACGAGAGGAAAAAGAAAAAAAAACGTAGGGAGCAATTACCTTAAATTTGAAGAGTAGATAGCAAAATCCAGATGAAAAATCGTGTTAAAGGCTTCGAATGTAGGTAGGAAACAGAGTGATATGAAGAAATTTCAGTGAAACCAAGCAAAAAATAACAAACGAGCGATAAAATGAAGAAATTGCGCGAAAAAACGGAAAACGGGGCTTTTAAAACTGAACTGTCGCTCGAGCGAGACCTGGGCGAAAGTCGGGCGACAAGCAATCTGCTTTTGTCTCTCGACCGAAGTCCAGGCGAAACTCGAGCGAAAGCGGATTGTCACAAATAGCACCAAAAATTTGAATTTTAAGAAAAATAGCACAGAATTCAAAAAAATAATGAATTTAGCCCCAAACCGTGTATTTTCAAAATCAAGAGAATTTCTTAACATCGGAAAATAATCCCAAAATTCAAAAATGAAGCATTTAACCAAATATGTAATCGATACGAACAATAAGCATAAAATCACAAACCCGACATTCAGAACACATAGACAAATCTTAAACCCACACATAGTTCAAAATCTCATGGAGTAAAGTGTATACAGAACATCACCGTGAAAAACGCCACGTAATCCATGTAAGTTAGACTCAAAACCTTAAATTAGTGAGAAAGGACACGTGAAAACAACCAGACAAAGGTGTATATCTACCAAGTGACAGTCAAATCCAATTCCACGAGGACCTATATCAATTAGTACGATTGTCACAATTTTACTCCCCCTAACTGTATGCTCCCTTTTTTTCTTTTTTTTTCTTTTTTTTTTAATAACATAAGAACTTAAGTGCAATGCTATCCCCATTAGGCGACATAAATGACCCCGGTAACGAACTTTGGGCCGGTGACTCCCAAGCCAGACGACCATAGGGCACCAGGTTAGAAACCCCTCAGGCTTAATTGTTCGAGTCAAATAGGCCCCAAAGACAGTCATAAGTTCAACGAATAACGCAATAAAAGTGGGAAAAGACAATAATGATTAGGTTACACTCGTAGATCAAGTCAAATGGACATACCACCCCAATCACAGAAGAACACCATCCCAAGTCTCACCCATGAGGTCAAGACTCACTCACAGGACTACAATGTGTGCTGTGCGAAAATGAATGACGAGCTATATACCCAGAACTCCATAGACAAAGAGAACGATGATGGAACCTCAGACTCGTACATATGATGAAATATAGAGTTTGATCCTAAAAGCAAATGCCATAATCGTCACATAAAAGGCACACACAACAAAAAAAAAATCCCTTTTTTTTTTATTATTAAACACACAAGCATAATACACAAAATAAAACCAAACGACAAACTAACACACAAAATGCACCACATACACATAGATCACATGCAAGATATGAAGTGACTAGGTGCAGATGTGATGAATGCATGAATATGCAAGAATCCACAATCAGATAGGCAAACAAACACCAACAGCCATCCGAAGCGATTCAAACCTCAACCCATCTAGTGGTTTCGTAAGTAGATCGGCCAATTGGTTATCAGTAGAGACATGATCTAGGGAGACAACGTGTGTTTCAACAAGTTCACGAATAAAATGATGTCATATGTCAATATGTTTTGTTCGCGAGTGCTGAATAGGATTCTTAGAAATATTTATAGCACTGGTATTGTCACAGAAAACAATCATGGTCCCTTGACTAATCCCATAATCACTCAGCATCTGCTTCATCCAGAGAAGCTGAGTGCAGCAACTCCCCACTGCTATGTATTCGACCTCTGCCGTGGAAAGAGATATGGAATTTTGTTTTTTACTTAACCAGGCTACAAGATTGCTACCCATGTAGAAACAACCCCCTGTCGTACTTTTCCTATCATCTGCGTTCCCGGCCTAATCAGCGTCGGAGTAGCCAGCCAAATCAAGATTAGAATTTCTAGAATAGAAAATCCCTAGATCAACAGTACCACTCACATATCTAATGATGCGTCTAACAGAGCTTAAGTGTGATTCTTTGGGATCTGCCTGAAATCGAGCACACACTCCAACACTAAAAGCAATGTCAAGTCTAGTAACTATGAAATAGAGAAGACTACCTATCATGCTTCGATATAGGGAAGGATCTACACTCTTACCTAAAGGATCACGACCTAACTTCAAGCTAGTACTCATAGGTGTCCTAGTCGATGGTTCCTTAGGATTTTTATCTCGATCTTGTGGATGTGTTTCCTTTTTAGGTGTTTCAGGTTTTCTAAGAGATGACTCAGACACAGGTGGCTCAGTAGGATCACTAGACCTTATAAGATCGCCATTTCTATCGTCCATCCTATCATAATTTTCAACATTCTCCCTCTCACTCATAGCATCATCTATCACAACATTGACTGACTAAATCAACACACGAGTACGTGAGTTATACACTCAAAATGCTTGGCTATTTCTAGAGTACCCTAAGAAGATTCCTTCATCACTCTTCGATTCAAACTTACTCAAGTTCTCTCTATCACGCAAAATGTAACACTTACTCCCAAACACACGAAAGTACTTAACCGTAGGCTTTTTACCCTTAAGTATCTCATATGGAGTCTGATCGATCTTGAGCCTAAGGTAAACTCTATTGATTATGTGGCATGCAGTGTTAACAGTTTCTCCCCAAAAATGTAGGGCTAGTCCCTTGTCATGAAGCATGGCTCTAGCCATGTCCTGAAGAACCCGATTCTTCCTTTCAACCACCCCATTTTGTTGAGGAGTGATAGGGGAAGAGAACTCATGCAGTATCCCTTCGTCCATGCAAAAACGCTCAAGATTGAAATTTTCAAACTCTTTTCCATGATCACTACGCATTCTAGACACTTTGATATTGAGTTCATTACAAAGCCGTTTACACAATGATTTTATAAGATCACAAGCATCAGATTTTTCCCTAAGCAATTCTATCCATGTGAACCTGAAGATGTCATCTACCACAACAAGAATGTACCGCTTACCTCCTAAACTCTCAGTCCTAGATGGTCCCATTAAATCCATGTGTATCAATTCCAAGGGTCTTTTGGTCAGATTTTAGAAGTCTTTTTATGGCTTCTCTTAAGTTGTTTACCTAGTTGACATGGTCCACACACAACATTTTCACTAGGACCTATCTTAGGCAAACCATCTACCAACTCCTTCTTAGCCAGCTGTACTAGACTTTTATAGTTCAAATAACCCAATCTTTTGTGCCAAAGTTCACTCGCATCAATTTTTGCACTCCTACACACATAATTAGAATTAGGTAGAACTCCATAACAATTATCAGATGTTCTAACCCCTTCAAGAACCACCCCACCGGATGAATCATACACAGTACATCTCTTTTGCACAAAGCTAACCTCAAAATCAGTATCACAAATTTGACTAATACTTAACAAGTTAGACTTTAGATCTTCCACATAAAGCACATTAGAAATCACAGGTAATCCATGCATTTGTACAGTACCTTTGCCAAGAATAGGTGCAGAACCCCCATCTCCAAAGATAACCATACCCCCATTACATTCATCAAGAGAGGTGAATAAAGCCTTGTTACCACACGTATGCCTAGAGCATGCACTGTCTAGGTACCACATATTGTAATTTTGGGCTTTTAATGCAACATGAGCAACATAACAATGTTCTTGACCTGAATGTCTAGCTAGATCACCCTCTTTGACCCAAACTTTCTTAGGCGACAAAGTACTCCTAGTTAGCTTAGTAAGCATCTCAGTCAAATGACTAACCTGATTAGACAGAAAGCTAACCTGACTAGGAATGTTCTGATTTCTACGCTCATTGCCTAACTTATAACATCTAGGCCTAGTGTGTCCTAGAGCTCCACAGTGATGACAGGTGGGAATGAACCTAGGCTCAAAGGTACGTGTCTGTGGGTATTTGGGCATGATGTTCCTACGTGATTGATGACTCTGTTCCCTCGGAACATTCTTACCCTTATTTGAACTACTGACAGCATTAGACTTCTTAGAGGCAGATACAAAAACATTCTTAGATGGTCTAGCAACATGTGTATTACCCTTAACATATCCTAGACCTCTCCTATCTCCCACTGGCTTATTCATTCCCAAAAGATTATCCAATTTCTTAGTCCCACTTATGAAAGTCTGAAGATGAGCATTAGATTTTTCCAATTCACTAGCCAATGTCTTAACCTTGTCCTCTAACTTTTCGTTGATACATTTTAACTCACTACCACTCTTAAGTGAATCTTGAAGATTACTAGCAAGTCTCTCTTTTTCTCTTTCCAGTTCATCAACCTTTTTTAGTAGAGCTTCATTGACATTTTTGATCTTAAGACTCTCCTTAAACAAAAGTTAATAGGCCTCTTGTATGTCTATGTCATCCTCATCCTCATTACTAGAATTATCATTGTGAAGTTCTTCCTCAACCTTGTCACTCTCCTTATCAGATTCACTCTTGACAATCGATACAAATGCCATATAGTTCCCTTCATCTTCACTACTAGATGATTCCTGCCTATCACTGGTCTCAGATTCATTATCTGTAAATGAAACAACTAAGGCCTTACCTTTCCCTTTTCTTTGATTCTTCTTATAACTAGGACACTCATTCCTATAGTGACCTATACCTTGACACTTATGGCACCTAACCAAACGTGGTTTATCACTTGACCCTTTATTGTTAAACCTTTCAGTTTTTTCTTTTGAGAATCTGCTAGGGACTCCACTTTTTCTATCCTGAGGCTTTCTCCTATTCTTGAGAACTTTTTGGAATTTATTAACAAAGTATGCAATTTCATCATCTCTAAGAGACTCAGTATCAGATAATTCATCCTCTTTGATGGATTTTAAGGCTATGGACTTTCCTTTCTTAGGTTGTGTGACAGTGAGTTCATAAGTTTGCAAGGATCCTACCAGTTCTTCAATTTTAACTTCATCTAGGTCTTTAGTTTTCTCAATGGAAATAACTTTAGGCCTAAATCTCTCGAGCAGGGACCTAAGTACTTTTCTCACAATTTTAGACTCGGGAATTCTCTCACCTAGATTGAAACTAGAATTAACGATATCATTCAGTTTTGCGTAAAATTCATCAAAAGTTTCATCATCCTTCATCCTCACTTCTTCAAACCTAGAGGCTAGCATTTATAATTTTGAGTTCTTTACCATTTTAGTTCCCTCATGTGTAATTTCAAGAATGTCCCAAACTTCTTTAGCAGATTCGCACATTGACACTCTCCTAAACTCTTCGGGAGACACGGCCATAAACAGGGCATGAAGCCCTTTGCTATTCCAATTACACTCAGCTATCTCATCCTTAGTCCACAGTGATATGTCAGTAAGATTAACAGTTCCTGATACGATAGTGGAGGGAGGTTTCCAACCATTTTGCACACTCACCCAAACATGCTCATCTAGAGACTTAAGAAACGTATGCATTCTAACCTTCCAGTAAACATAATTACTTCCGTCAAAATATGGAGGTACAGAAAATGATTGACTCATCTAGATAACTATGGGTCAGGACTAGAGATTTGGCTCTGATACCACTTGAAAAGGCTATAGTTCGACCCAAACAACACCTAGAGGGGGTTAATAGGTGTTTATGCGAAATTTAACAATTTAATTAACTTATGCAACATGTCACATAAATTACGCTTTGTCCAGATTCATTCACATAATTTAGCTACCTAAGTTGAATTGCCGGTTGAAATCAAAACAACAAAAAGCAGTAAAAACGCAACAAAATGTTGACAGAGAAAACCCAACTGGGTAAAAATTCCGGGCACAAGCCAGTAGAGATCCACTATAGAAAATATTGACTTACAGTACGCCAGACATAATTGAATCTAACAATACTTTGACCTCCTTACTGTATCAACCAAAGCTCTCCTGAATTTTGCAGATCTGTGCCATAATCCCAGTCTTGAATTTCTTCTATCTCCCGTGAATCACCAGGCACTCCAGTTCTTCAAACAATTTCATTCCCGGATCTTCAAACAAATGATCTTCTGGAAGTTGATATGGAGATTTGAATGGTGTTTTGATTTTGTGAAGGTTGATGTTTTTCTCTAATAGAGCATAAGATGAAAAGAAAGAATTTTTTGGCTCTAGATCCTTTGGTTGTTGAGAGAAATTTTTATTTGTATGTTTTCCAAAGGTTATCAATGAAAAACGGAATTTTTGTTTATATAGTAGGTCGTTTTTGATAGTATGGAGCGTTTAAAATTCGCGAGGAAGGAAAATTACCAAAAGTCAGATAGCACTGTCGCTCGAGCGAAGTGCTGGCAAAACTCGAGCGACGCACCTTCGCTCGAGCGACCTCTCAGCAAAACTCTAACGACAACAGTTCTGTTATTTAGGCTCGAGCGAGGTCTGGGCGAAACTCTAGCGAGACCAACGCGCTGTTTGCATCTTCAAAGCATCCAACTTTACCATAGACCTATGCTATAAACTTTGCAAAATTGCAACACAAGTCCCTAAACTTTTTGGACCTTTACAATTTAGTCCTTGACTTTACAAACTTGACAAATTGGTCCTTTGGTCACAGATTGCCAATTAAAACATTTTCCTAACACATAGGAATTATTATCACAAGGTTAATTCGATATTGAACAGAACCAGTCATCTTCACCATTGAGCCAAATGAACCTTTTATCATTGAAATCCGATAAGTACTTTATAGCAACAATTCTTAAATTACCTTCTGGTTACACCCTTAATAAGCTTGAAACTGGAAATGAACATCACTAGTTCATCGACCACCCATTCAATATATATCATCATTTACCATTCTAATTTTTTTCACCCACCTAATAGCAGTCATGGTTGGCAGTTATGTTCTTCACCCTTTTTTTCTTTATTTAATGTAATATTTTCATCAATTATTTTCATATTCCTGTTACCGTTACTTATGGAATAATTATTTTGAAGGCGGGAAGAAGGGGTGTAAATGGGTTGATACTATTTTACCCTTGATATTTGAAAAGAAAACTGTATTTTTGTATTGAATTAATGGAGCAGCTGACGTAAGCTAATGGAAGGATGTTTTCCACAAAGAAAGATATAAATAAAGTAAAAAAATGTTGAAAAAATGAAAGGTAATGACATTTTTTACAATAAAATTAAAAGGTATGAATATTTTGTGCTAATTACCCTTTTGATAAAATGGAGCCCAAGCAGGGCAAAAGGTTTGTAGTTCAATATAAGGTTCTTTACTTATTTTGTAAGTATTCATGAACTTCACCTGCTTGAATGGTGGTTTCCAACAGCAGTAATTTCTTAGGTTTGAAGTGCAAATCATAGCTCAAAAATGTGGAGTTTCCATATCTGGAAAAATGTACAAAGGATCCCTGTTTTTACTCTTTAATGTTTGAACACTTAAAATTAATCTACTTTTAATCATTTTCTGCAACTTAATTTTAATCTACTTTTAATCATTTTCTGCAACTTAATTCAGTCTGACCTGTTCTTTTCTATCATTTGGGTGGGATTACAAAAATTATTCATCCTGGTGCATGTTCTTCTTTGTTCACGTGTATCCTCAATAGGAAGCAAGGTATAAAGATTAATCATTATTCTTCGACTACTACTTTATTAAAACTGGAGAAAAATAAAGTATGTTTGTATGTTTCAAATTTGAAATTTTAAGGGAATTCCATGTGATAATAAATATCCTTCAAGTAGGACTAGAAAAAACTTCCAAATCGAATTGATTCTTTTTTGGTTAAATACTCGAACAGATAAGAATTGAATTTTCCTAATTTTTAATATTTTTTATATTAAATAGGTCAAATTATTTTAATTTTTGAAAAATAAATTTGCGAATTAACTGATTAATTGTAAGTGCCCAATGCTCCAATTCCCAAAGGTCAACCTCAAATTTCAAGTAGATTTGAAGTCTTGAATTAAAAGGAGTTAATGGGATGGAATCACCGATATTTTAGTGTTATTATTTACTTTTTGGTAATTAGTATACATTGGTGAATGAATCTAATTAGACAACTTATTATTTGTATATTTTTAAATTGGACAATGTTATTTTGTAAGAGTTAAGGTAGAATATGTTATTAGTTAGATTAATGTAGTGTCATTGTAAATGTTAAAAAAATTAATTATGATATCGAATCGAATCAAATCGAGCCGAACCAAACCAAACAGAACCAAATCGATTCGATTTAATAATTAAATTTGGACCAAACGATTTTATGTACTTACCGAAAAATTGTGGTTCTGTTCGATTCAGTTCTAGAACAATGTCCAGCCCTGCTTTCAAGGTTAAGAGTTCAGTTTTATGGAAAGTTGCTACAGTTCGTGGAACCTAGGACTGGATGTTAAATGTCAAAATTTTCGTAAAATGAACGTAGCACTAATGAAGATTTTAAGGTGAACTGAGAAACGAAAATGAATGTCACCCCTTCGACGTAACATATCGATTGAGAAAAGGAAATTACGCGTTTTCTGTTGTGAGAGGATAACAATGTCTATAGAACGCTAAGTGACAGACCAGAATGTATTAATAATTTTACAAAGTTTTCCTCTTGCTATGAAATGCTGTTCTACTTCATAAAAAATCCAATTCTCAAGAGCAAGTTAACAGAATAAAGGTAATAGTACATAACACTGTTACATAGTAGCACCATTTATTTCTATAGTGAATGACACATATGAAGGGAATGCTAACTAAATACAGAAAAGAATGGAGAATAGATACCAAACCAACTTGAAAACAAGTCCAAAATGCACATCCACACTAAGCACATATACTTTGTCCTACTACCTACTCAAAGCAAATCCCAATTAAAACTAGGTTGTGCCGGATTAATTGTCCTCGAAGCCACTTTGGATGCTGAAGAGGCGCCTGCGCTGATGCCCGACACTGATGGTGCTGGTGAAGAATCGAACGTTTCCCACTGCGTTGTTATCACAAAAGTCCCGGAGGTTGAGTGCTTTGAGGGCTGCTGTTGTTTCTTTGGTGGCGAATCGATTAATGACAGCCCAAATGAATTCCGGGGTTGTTGCTGTTGACTGGGAGACGAAACGCTCCCATTTGAGTTCGATGGCTCTTGATCTGGTATTGAAACATGCCCATTTGAGTACCTCGGTTGCTGACTCTGTTGAGACGAGTTTCTGCTGCTAATAGGCATTGAGTTTTTGATCTTCAACGTATCAAGAGTCTCGATGTACTTCTGTACTCGTTTCACCTTAAAATAAGCAGCAAATCAGAAACGTTTAAATGAGCCTTAAACAATAGTTCCAAATTGGAGAATTTTGGTTTTTAGTCCCAACATAATTAAGAACTTTTACCTGCATTTTCCTTTGTAATTTGACATCCCCTTCAGCATTAATTCCATCCAATCTAAGCAGTTGATTCATCAACAACTCAATCAGATTTACTAAATCTTTTTCAGCCACTTTTCCACCTTTAGAAATTACAGATTCAAACGCTGAAACCTACAAGTTGCAATCAAGATAATAATTCTTGTATTAATGAAGAAAAATATGCTGAAATTTTATCGACTGTACTCTCAAGTATTAATCATGCATCGGGAATTACCTGTCCACCAAATCTATCCACCTCCAAGCTGATTTCTGATATAGATTTTGCTGTCTTTTCCATTTTTGCGTTTTTCCTCATCTCAATGTACCGTTTTTCTTGGCTAATTGGATCCTCCATTAGAACAAGTTTCGATTTGTCCTTAACACCTGCAGTATCAAGAAATGCGTTGGAATCCCTCTCTTTATCCTTGTAAAATAACTTCTGATCCTGGTGGTGCAATCCCGTTGGTTCTGTTAACATTTTCTTCAACTCCCCTGCATTCAAGTTAATTGATTCTCACAATTCATAAATCACGCTCATGTTACTATCAAGTTTGGTACTATCCAAATTCCAGTGAAAGTCAAGAATCAAGAAAATTGTTAGCAATAACTTATTGATTGCTGAATGAGAACTGAAAGAGGAATTCATTATTGAAAATTACCAAAGGTAGCTTGAGAACTGATATGAATTTGGTGGTACATCGACCCGTATTTAACCCTAACTCGAATTGTCGGCGGTGGCGCCTGGTTTTGGTCGGCATCAGTACGCTTCTGAACCAGCATTCCACCAGGCCTAAGTTCCCAAGCATCATTACTTCCGCCACCATTCGTCGGCGGCACCCCATTACTTTTAGTCTTCATTCGCATCATTTTCAAAAATAAAAAATAAAAAAATACCCAACTAGAATTGCTGGTGATAATTTGAATTTGATGCAATTAAATTCAGATCAAACAGTATATTCATACATATCCCATCTCCAAGTTGTCACAAAATCCCAAAAGGCTACGGGTCCAAAACTGTAGCCACGCGTCCACGAAGAGAATTTATATCTATATACTGTAGCCGCCGTAACTGTGTAACTGTTTGTATCTACGTACCCTGTGGTAACAGAACGTAAATAGGAAAATTTTACTTCACATTCTGAAGAAAGTTACAAGATCCATGAATCGATATCGCCGGAGAAATGAATTTGATTACGTGACCACAAGTTGGAATTTTACGGTGAGACAAAAAAGAGGGATTCTCAGATCTCTTACAAAAAGGCTGGAATGTAGAAGAAAGAATCAATGGTTGCGTGAAATCTGGGAAGAATATTGACTCTTCAAATCTTCAAACTCCGATTAACCCGATGGAAATTAGCCCAGAAAACAACTGGAAAAAAAAATCAGATTACAAATAGAGAATCTTGGGTTGATTTTTCTTCTCCTGTCTGCCGACTCTGATTATTCAGAAGGCTCGAAAAATAATTTAAAAAATAAAGTAGAGAGAGCAGAGAGAAAATATGACATAAAAATGTATGGACTACGAAGAGAACAGAACAGAACAGAGCATTGAGCTTAGATTACTCTACAATATATAAATAATTAATAAGGAAACGTTTCAAGAAAAAATGATATTACAAAATGAAATCTGCCATACAAAGCCGCCAAAGCATGTTTTTAACGTTAATAGATACAAACTGAAATTTAACATTTTTGTTTATTTAAAAAAAAAAAAAATTTGTACCCTTGTGGTTGTGTGAGAAATGACCAATCATAAAATAGGATTAGGTGGTAACGTGTGGCGGGCATGAGGGTGTTTTAGGAATTTGAGGTGGCTCTAATCATTGTGCGGTTAATTACTAGCTAAACTTACAAGGTATGACAGACGTCTATTACTGTTGAATGACTGAGAATAGCCGGTTAATAACCGGTAGCATGGATCAATTTTCACTTAACTTTCCATTTTTGTTAAAAATAAGTTTTGTAACAGTTGATTTTTGAAGATTTTGTAGTTTAAAAGTAGAAAAAAATTTAAATTTACTTGTAAAATATTTTACTGAAAAAAATTCTGATATTTTATCCGAGCCGAGTTCTAGCCTAGAATTTTGACTCGCGAACTGACTCGACTCAACTCATTGACATCCCTAAAATCTCAGAATATATACACAAAATCACAATTTCTCCACCGCGTTAACTATTTATTGCTTCTATAAGAAAATACTGAAATAAAAATTAATAAATTATAGAAGTTCAAATTATTTTGCAAATATGAAAGGCTTAAAAATACTAAAATAATTGCTGGCCATGTGTGAAAAAATAAATGCCAAAAAGTCAAACTATCTTGTCAGTTAGCAAGATTGAAAAATAATAATAATAATAATAATAATAATAATAATGAGCGTTTTTAAGAATGTCCAATTTTAAGGGTATGAGTTGAAAAGTGTCCGCTCATTTGAATTTAGTGCCAACTATGAAAAGTTACATTTTGAAATGGTATTCACGACATTTTAAATATTGTTCTCGACATTTGATTTTTTTATCAATTTGTCACGAATTTTGAGAAGTGGCTTTCACGAGAAGTTACATTAAAATAATATTTCTCGACATTTCATATGTCATTCTCGACATTTGAACACCGTTTCATTTGTCTAAAATGACATTTCATTTTGAACATGATATTTCTCTACATTTAAAAATGTCGTTCTCGACATTTCTGAATCAATGAAAAACATAGCATTTATTATGATTTGACAAGTATACTTTTTGAAATAAATATGACAAATTATGTGTCAAAATTTTATTGGGCAATAACAATATTGCAAAAATATCCATTTTTTTTTATCTTAGTGGACTAGGTAAAAATGGGCATTTTGTGAAATTTCTTCTAATAATAATAATAAGGAAAAAAAAAAAGTCAATGCCTTACTTATTGTCGTAAAAAAAGTCAGGTTCACAAGGTTAAACACCTGTTTGCTATATTAAAAATATATATATATCAATGCCTTGTATATTTTCTAATTGTCGTCAAAAAAGTCTGGTTCACAAGATTAAACACCTGTTTGGTATATATTAAATATTTTTAGTATATTTTCATAAAAATTGATGAAATATATATTTGACAAATTGTGAGTTTCATGAAATGTGTAATTGTTGATTTTGAGTTGAATAATCGATTTTAATTCTTATAAACATAATTAAGAAAAGTTTTGTAGGAAAATTTTATTTATAGGGTTCAACTTTGCCTGTAATACCACATAAAATATAGCTCATTTGGGGACCAGCTTTAAAATGTAAGTTAATTTAAGTAAATTTTTATTACAAAAAAAATAAAATAGTAAAAAAAAATCTATCTATGTTTGTATGTTATTTTTGTTTTCTTCTTTTCAAGTATAATAAGTTAATTTAAAGTAAATTTTATGCTAGTCAAACATACCCACACGTTTCATGAAACAGTTAAAATACACGTTTTAAGCGATGACAATATGTAAATATCACTTGTTAGTTTCGTATTTTGATGTCCAAATTATTTATTCCCAAAGTCTTTTTAATAGTCAATTTTGGACAATGAAAAAGATAACTTACTGCGAGTCGAAAATGAAAATCCAACTGCCTATGGTCCATCCAATTTTAAAAAATGCAATGGATTTGACCTCTAAAAAAGAGTTGTGTTGATATATATCCACACTCATCACCTAATAATAAAAATGAGATTAGATTTAAGAAAAAAAAAAGTTGGGTTCAAGTTTCGTCCATTATATATAAAAATTGTGCAAATGTTAGAACTTTAATAGAAAAAGAATTCGATTAGTATGTAAGCTTATTGAAGATACGATTTAATTAATACACATAGCTCATTTCTTATAATTTAAATTTTAAGATAGTCAACAATAATTATTGTTTTTCGTAATATTCAAAAGCTTGACTCCATGTGTGGTCAAATAACATGTCAAAATATAAAATAAGAAATAAAATAAATTTTTTTATGTAATTGCAAGAATTTATAAATATATGATAAAATAAACAATAAAAATATATTATTTTATTCAAAAGTTGAAGAATAATAATCATTTTATGATGGAAAATTGTAATTTAGCAGCACCATTAGGGTTGACGTCTATTTTAGTCCCTATTTGGCTTTTATTCTTTAAAAGTCGTTTTTTTCTCAAACTCATTTCAACGACACGTTTCATGTGATTCACAATTATTATCATTTTTTTTTATATCCAGGTATCCCAACTTACACTAGAATAAATTCTGGACTCCCAAGACCCTTACCCCTAGAACCTTGGAGGGGGTAAATCGTTGGTTATGACTCAACTGGATCACAAGTTTCCCCCATTACCTGTACACTTCTGCGCACAAGAGACCCTTATCAACAGTGATTGATCCATACCAAATATTTGGTCGCAAGTTCCCACCAGGAATCGAACTCTCCACCCTACCGCTAAAAGCAAGACAATGTTGATTGATCCACCAGTTGAGCTGTGCCCCGAGGGGCATTATTATCAATTTTTTAGTTATATGTTTCATTGACTTTTATCAAAATTTATAAAAATATAAGTTTTAACGAAAGTTGCCACTGATTTTAAACTGTAGGCCTCTGTGTCTGGAATTAGTGTTTGCATAATTGTAGCCTAAGATTTCAATTTCATTATTAATTCCTCATTACTGGTCCTGTGCAAATGCTATCCAAACATAGAAAGGGCATTAAGTTGGTAACTTACCATATCATATTTTTCCGCTTCAAGAAACCTATATATTTCTTTCTTTTTCTTTTGTAAAATCATTTAGAGTATCTTTGATATAGATTTTAACAGATAATGCAGATAAGTCGATGGATTTCATAAAATATGTTGTTAAAAAGTTGATAAAAATTATGACTAAAAAATAGTATTAAAAACGAAGTTTAGTCACCTTTCTGATTGAATAAAAAAAAAATTACGTTGTCAAATAAGTCCTTAATTATTCTTTAAATAGAAATAGCCCGTGTGGGCCAATGAGCCATACTGAGCCAAGAACTTGCAAGGGGGGTTTCTCCTACGCTCATTGAGAACAAATTCACAATTGTTGTTGTAAGTTAGCCATGACTTTGTCCCTATTATTTTATATTATAATTTTTTTGATCTCTTGTTTTCAGCAACATAATTTTTTATAAAATATATTACATGAAAACCATTTTTTTTAATTCTTTTTAATCACATTTTCCCAAAAAAACAAAAACTATTACAAAAATTAAAATACCAAATAATTGGGTCAAACGGTGGCTAAGCTGATCCATCACAAACAACTACATATTCATTTTGAACGTGTTGAATACAATATATTAAACAATATGAAAAGAAAAACGAACAACTATTGGCGTATGTGTATAAATTTGCAAATTATGTTTTGAGTAAATTAGCCCCGCCCCTATTTGATCTCCATTAAATTTATAATTCATTTTTTTATCTTCATATCAACCACATATTCTGTAATAAAATAATATTATTCGTAATTCAAAAAAATTGTTTTTTAATCACACATTCTTAAAAAAAAAAATAATAATAATAAATAAATAAAATTATTCCATCCATTAGGATTTCAAATAATAGTAGCCAAACTGAAGCCTACAAAGTAAACACTTACTTAAAATGATACAGATAATGTTTAACACTATTTCTTTAAGACGAATATGCCCTACCAAGGTGCTCATGGTGTCTTGACAATTGCCTCCGAAGATACAATGGTTTCCTCCTTGCTGTAGAAGAACTTCAGATGACAAGAAACAACGAACTCGAAATTGAAAAACGCTATCTACTTTGAATGGTTTTTAATACAAGAAAACTCTTGATTTTGCAATGATTTAGAGTAATATGATCAATGCATATGGTATGGAGTGATTTTAGACCACTGAGTGAGTCCAATTTATAGATGTTGAGGGGTTGTGGTCGGAGAAAAACGTCATAAAATTTAGCATGTTTCATGAACAATCACAACTGTTCACACCACTCACTAAACTCTCGCATGGTTGATCCCTGCCTACAAGGCGATCGCTCAAGCGGTCAACTTATATATGAAATTCTTGTTTTATTTCATTTATTTAACCTCACTTTTAGACATCAATTTCTTATTCATCTAAAATTGATTTTGTGAATCCATATACACTACGATCATCTACACGACGAGTAAAATGAATTTGTCTATTCATATGCACAAGTTGACTACTAAAACACATTTGAACATTTGTTCGAAGTTGATACAAAATCAATATTTTATAAATCACTTTCAACAATCCCTCACATGAATTAAAATTACCAAAATTGCAAATGATAATGCAAACATTATTAGAGAGTATTGGCGGAAAGATATTGCATCAGAGGAGATAGCTTCTAGCTTTAAACCAGCCTTAGTTAAATACTATCGGATATACTTGGCTAAGTAAACATGATGTTTTGAACTATTTAATCATTGTTATAAACCAAGACAATAATACTCACACAATATCTTTCCAAACAATTTCAATTCTCATGGTTGTGTTTGTTTTTGGTTTTGAACCACTCTTGGATTTCATAAATATTTTAGAGAATATCAACCTCAGAATTCTCATAGAAGTGGCA